AATGAAGCACATCAAACTAACATAAAAATAAGAGACTCTGCTTGGACTGTTTCATAATGTCAGATGATGACATATTTATCAGGCTTCCAATCCGGCACAAATATTTATGAAGACCATGTGCATTTCTGAGAAGAGCTCAAGATGACACAAGTGTGGGCCAGCTACAGTGGAAGAAGAAGCTTCTTTCAAACAAACAACACATGGAGCAGAGAGTCTGCCAAAAGTTACCACAAATCCAGATTTCCTGAAGAAACTGGGAGGGCTGACTTGTTAGACAAGACTCTTCTGAATCCAGAAGCGTTTTCTCACCAGCTTTGCGTCCTGCCAGGACACACTCACAGCAACCCAGAAGCCCTGCGGAGTTAAGGTCAAAAGAAGACGAAGCTTTTCCAAAGAATTTGTGTAACCTGATTTCTCTCCATGTAATTATCCTCAAGTTCCTCAAAACAGTCCCATCAGAGTTGGGTGCTGGACCATTGGCAAAACCCTGCAAAGCTAAACATGAAGGAGACGAGAAGGGAGGGGAAGTGTGGGGGGGGGACCAGCAGCTACTGGGATCGGGCAGTTGAAATGAGCAAAGACATCACATACGAATGCCAATGGGAAGGTTTAATGTAGGGGTGTCCAACTTTAAGACATGCGGACTTCAACTCCCAGAATTCCCCAGCCAGCAATAGTGGCTGGGGAATTCTGGGAATTGAAGTCCACCCATCTTAAAGTGACCCAGGTTGAGAAACCCTGTTCTATGATATTAGAACTAGGAATGTTGTATTAATTTAATAGGCGGGTGGTGTCTCAGAGAAAATTAGATTGATCAGATGGATTTGTAATTGGCTCCTTAATTCAAGCAATTGAGGTCAGACACGGCCATCTTCACGTGTCCTTGATCCTTTCCCATCCTTTCCCAGTCCATTTTTCCTGTGCGGGACGATCTTCAACTACCCCTATTAATTTAATATTGGTTTCTCTAAACTGGTATCTTCAAGGCCAAGAGGGAAACTGAGGAGCAGAAAACCAACACTTCCAATGGAGGACCACTTGGAGGAAGGAGCCTGGATCTTATCAAAACACAACTTTGTGTGTAAGAATGCCAAGAAGCTTGTGTTGTAGTTTGCAATGAGATTCTGATGGAGAGTTTCAAAGATACCCCAAAGTCTGCACACTTTCTAAGGGTCGTCTTGCCACTTCAGAGCCCAATATTCTCTCCCAGGAGCTTGACTCCCTTCTGGACAAAGAGGGACAGCACAATAGGATGGGACATACAGGTAATCCCTGATTTACAGCCATTCGTTGAGCAACATTACCACGGCACTGAAAAAAAAGCACAACTGCTCTTCGCACTTATGACCGCCGCAGCATCCCCAGGGTCACAGGATCAAAATTGGGTTGCTTGGCAACTGGCATGTGTTTATGATAGTGGCAGCATCACATCTGCAATCTTCCCAGACGTCTTTTGACAAGCAAAGTCAATCGGGAAAGCTGGCTCCGCTTAACGGCCGAATGATTCGCCTAATGACTGTAGTGGTTCACTTAACCGCCCTGGCCAAAAAAGGTTGCAAAAAAGGCCTTCCCGCTTAACAACTGCCTTGCTGAGCAACGGACATGCTGGTTCCAGTTGTGGTCCTAAACTGAGGACTGCCTGTAAGTCCTATGTAATATAATAATAAAGACTCCAAGAAAGGCTGTCCAGGGAAGTGGCCGCTGTTAAGCCCTCTGTCAGCGCAAGTTCTTTGGCCGTCTTCGTGATTTTGCAAAGATGCACAAGAGGCTATTAACCCCCCCCCCCAAAATGTCCCTTCCTCTGCCTCCTCTGCTGCTCCCACCTCCCCGAACAAAGTTTTCACCGGGTGTCAGAAATGACAAAGGGACAAATTAATCTCACTCAGGCCAACTGCTCACCTAGAGTTCTACCCCAGCTTTGCTATTGGTTGCATAAGCAGGCCCCTTTGTTTTAAAGAAATAAATAAAGAACACGCCAGCCTTTCGGCAAGTAATTTATTTGAAATATCTCTATCAACAAATTTCAACAGGAACAAAAGTTTTCCATTTGGCACCTGCTTAGAGGATGATGTTATCACGCTCTGTTTCATGCCGTCTCCTTTCAACGAGGTCTTAAAGCACGTTATCTCTGGTTTCCGGGTAGCAAAATATGATTGAAATGTTCTATTTATGCTCACTGGATTAAGGCAATGTTGCAGAAAAAGAGGAGAAACCATAGCAGATGTAAGCAAGGTATTATAGCCTCTTGTGCTGTTAAGATCAGACAGGGAGAGATCAATAGACAAGCCAGCTATTTCTGCTAAAGTTGTGCTTTTAGGAAGGAAGGAGAATAAAATAAAACAATTCCATAGATATTGATTCTCAATTATAATCTCCAAAAGGCAGGGCACAGAAAAACGAACTGTACTTTAATAATTCAACACCTGACTGATCTAACTTCCAGATCTCGTGTGCATTCTTAAAAACTAAGTTCTGTACCAGCAAATTAAACCCACAGAGTTGGTGCCCGGGGATTAGACTGACTTTCCTATCAGAAAAGACCATCGGGGTATACACAACCAACAAATTAACAATAATGCACCACGGAAGGCATTGTGCTGGAATAATTTGCCCGAGTGGCAGAAAGTCACTGATTTAGAGAGACATTTTACAATATTCTTAAAGGGAAAAGAAAAACTGGAAATCTGTGCCATCTCTTGAAAGGAAGTGATTACGGTTTGTGTGTGAGAACACGTGTGTGCATGCGAAGAGTGTAGCGCATGGTGAGGAATCCTGGGGAAGGAAGCAAAAAATAAACCTGCCATTAAATAAAAAGAAAGACTTTAAGCACATTGATGATGCAACCACACCTGGAATGCAGCCTATGGATCTGAGAGCTTCATTTTAAAGTGAAGCTAGAAAGAGTTTGTAAAGG